TGTGGAATAGGAGAACATAGACCCCACACAACCTATATATTATGTGAGAAATCTTTAAAGAATTCTGATAAAGAAAGAGATCTAGGAGTGGTTCTAGATAGAAAACTATCACCTGAGGACCACATTAAGAATATTGTGCAAGGAGCCTATGCAATGCTTTCTAACTTCAGAATTGCATTTAAATACATGGATGGCGATATACTAAAGAAATTGTTCATGACTTTTGTTAGGCCAAAGCTAGAATATGCAGCTGTTGTGTGGTGCCCATATCTTAAGAAGCACATCAACAAACTGGAAAAGGTGCAAAGACATGCTACTAAGTGGCTCCCAGAACTGAAGGGCAAGAGCTACGAGGAGAGGTTAGAAGCATTAAATATGCCAAAACTAGAAGACAGAAGAAAAAGAGGTGATATGATCACTACGTACAAAATAGTAACAGGAATTGATAAAATTGACAGGGAAGACTTCCTGAGACCTGGAACTTCAAGAACAAGAGGCCATAGATTTAAACTAGCTAAACACAGATGCTGAAGAAATATAAGAAAATTCACCTTCGCAAATAGAGTGGTAGACGGTTGGAACAAGTTAAGTGAGAAGGTGGTGGAGGCCAAGATCGTCAGTAGTTTCAAAGCGTTATATGACAAAGAGTGCTGGGAAGACGGGACACCACGAGCGTAGCTCTCATCCTGTAACTACACTTAGGTAATTACACTTAGGTAATTAAACACACGGTGGGCACACGGGACGTGGGTCTATGGGGTAGGTTCTGGTACCACGAGGTGGACTCCACACGAAATTCACTTGTTATTTCCTTAAAGCACAAAAGTCGGATGTCAATCACTATGGTATATTGTTTAATAAGTTGAGATGCACTTTATGAGATATCTGACTGTGTTTAGTTCCTGTATCACTGAAATATCCCGAGATATATATTGTTTTTCACAGAGCTCGTGCTCACGTGTGCTTTCCCTCCTCACACGCTACAGACTGGATCCTGCAGCCGCTCCGAGGCACAAACCAGGGTTTTACACATTTTACAGTCGATTAAGGATGCATCTGGGATGCTCTCGGACGCAGGTTCGAATCCTCGTCATGGCCCTTGTGGATTTCTTCATTTGATGCATCACGCAATTGTGATTTCTGTGTGTAGTGTTTAATTTGTTTTGTATTTTTCATTTATTTATTAATAATAGAGCAGCCTACTCAACAAACACTGAACGAGCCTTTATGACATTTGTCTGTTTATCAATTTTATTTATTTTTTTTTTAACCCTCAAACCGCGCATATCATATATAAATGATATCAGTGACAAAACCGAAACCGCGCACATCATTTATATATGATTTCGTGTCTAGCGCTATAATTTAAACGCCCCGCCTGGGATAGGGGCAGCTATAGTACAGCCACGACCGATAGTTGCCAGATGCCACCTAGAAAAAAAATCCAGGCCAACATTCTTGGGTGTTACAGCGTCAGTATTGAGCAAGCCACCAAGGCTGACGCACGCAGCACGAGCTCACATCACCGCTGTTCAGCTTGTGACCACAGCATCGCCTATAAATACCATAATATAAATGATACTGCTATTATTTAGCAGTAATAGTATTACTGAAGCCCCCTGACTGTGATAAAACTGACCAGGATTCTGATAATAGCAGGATTGTGGTGATATTTAGCGCTGTGCTCCATGGGAGGAGTAAGGCTGTGGAGGGAGGGTTGTGGCGTCGTAATCTGACTCTGTGTGGCCACCTTTTACTGACTGCACTCACCATACCAGCTTAGTGGTTCGCTATGGTGAACACAAATGTAGATACTTATATATAACATGTGTATAGTGTGAGATAACAGCGAGAAGAGTAGGTTGGGAGCTGCCATTTTGGTGAGGGAGGAGCGTCGTCTGCACGACTTGGCACGTTGTTTACTGATGGCCACTATGGTCTTTGGGCACCATTACAGCTTATTTGTACAGGTATGGTGAATAAAACAGGTAGATACTTATATATAATGTGTGTATAAAGCGTAATAACACCACAAACAATATTGTTGGAGGACAAATATTAGTGCGTCTATCCATGAGGGTGGCCGCCGAACAGCTGACTGTGTGAGTAGCTAAGTCTTTGTGCCTTTACTCACCATACAAGCTTAGATGTACAGTTATGGTGAACAAAACATGTAAATACGTATATATAACGTCAGTGTATAGTGAATAAATACAGAAACAGTATTGTGGGAGGTGGTGTTGAGGGAGGGAGTGGCAGTGAGTGGCTCGCTGGTGTTTGGGGGTCACTCCTCTTTGCTTTTTGACTCACAAGACCAACTTAGTAGTTCGTTATGGTGTACAAAACATGCAAATACTTATATATAACCTGTGTATATAGTGTAACAACAGCAAAACTATTTGTTTATTGTTTTATGAACATAATAATTGAATCACTAATATGCACACCATAATTTTGAGTACAGCGATGGTTCACACATTTTATAATATAAATATACCACAATTCACTGTATGGAATAATATTACTGCAAAAAAAAATAAGAAAAATTCAATCAGAGACATTGAAATAATTAGGTAATAATATATTTGTGGCAACTGCCGTCTGACAGCTCGAGCAGAGTAAACCTCGTCTGGCGAAGGCTCTGCCAGCTCTGCCAGCTCTGCCAATGCCCCTTTTTTGCCACACTTCCCTACCCTACTGCAGCTAAAATATCCCACCTACGATTTTTTTGTTATTTTTTCCGTGATCAGCGAACAAAAATGAACACTTCTATAAGACGAAAGAATTTTTTGGATTTTTTTTTGTTGCGCCTTTGGGTGTGAATTCCATTTGGGCCCCTAGCGGTTTGAGGGTTAAGAAACATGGAGCAGCCTACCTGATGAACATTGAACGAATCATTTTGACATTTGTTCTGTTTTTCAAAATTCTTATTTTTATGTGTTTTTTTTTAAGAAACATGGAGCAATCTACCTAACAAACACCAAACAAACCTTTTTGACATTTGTTCTGTTTTTATCAAAACGGTACTTTTTTTTTGCTCATTTCTACAAAAACCTCAATGAAGCTTTTGCAACATCACCGCATCACCCCTTTACATCCCAGCACCATTAGCATCTTTAACCCTCAAACCGCGCATATCATATATAAATGATATCAGTGACAAAACTGAAACCGCGCACATCATTTATATATGATTTCGTGTCTAGCACTATAATTTAAACGCCCCGCCTGGGATAGGGGCAGCTATAGTACAGCCACGACCGATAGTTGCCAGATGCCACCTAGAAAAAAAATCCAGGCCAACATTCCTGGGTGTTACAGCATCAGTATTGAGCAAGTCACCAAGGCTGGCGCACGCAGCACGAGCTCACAGCACCGCTGTTCAGCTTGTGACCACAGCATCGCCTACAAATACCATAATATAAATGATACTGCTATTATTTAGCAGTGATAGTATTACTGAAGCCCCCTGACTGTGATAAAACTGACCAGGATTCTGATAATAGCAGGATTGTGGTGATATTTAGTGCTGTGCTCCATGGAGGGAGGAGTAAGGCTGTGGGAGGGAGGGTTGTGGCGTCGTCTTCTGACTGTGTGTGGCCACCATTTATTGACTGCACTCACCATACCAGCTTAGTGGTTTGCCATGGTGAACACACATGTAGATACTTATATATAACGTGTGTATAGTGTGAGATAACAGCGAGAGGAGTAGGTTGGGAGCTGCCATTTTGGTGAGGGAGGAGCGTCGTCTGCACGACTTGGCATGGTGTTTACTGATGGCCACTATGGTCTTTGGGCACCATACCAGCTTATTTGTTCAGGTATAGTGAATAAAACAGGTAGATACTTATATATAATGTGTGTATATAGCGTAATAACACCACAAACAATATTGTTGGATGACAAATATTAGTGCGTCTGGCCTTGAGGGTGGCCGCCGATCAGCTGACTGTGTGAGTAGCTACGTCTTATGGCCTTCACTCACCATACAAGCTTAGATGTACAGTTATGGTGAACAAAACATGTAAATACGTATATGTAACATCTGTGTATAGTAAATAAATACAAAAGAGTATTGTGGGAGGTGAGTGAGTTGGTGTTGAGGGAGGGAGTGGCAGTGAGTGGCTCGCTGGTGTTTGGTGTTTCACTCCTCGTTACTTTTTGACTCACAAGACCAACTTAGTAGTTCGTTATGGTGTACAAAACATGCAAATACTTATATATAACCTGTGTATATAGTGTAACAACAGCAAAACTATTTGTTTATTGTTTTATGAACATAATAATTGAATCACTAATATACACACCATAATTTTGAGTACAGCGATGGTTCACACATTTTATAATATAAATATACCACAATTCACTGTATGGAATAATATTACTGCAAAAAAACTAAGAAAAAATCAATCAGAGACATTGAAATAATTAGGTAATAATATATTTGTGGCAACTGCCGTCTGACAGCTCGGGCGGAGTAGACCTCGTCTGGCGAAGGCTCTGCCAACGCCCCGTTTTTGCCACACTTCCCAACCCTATTGCGGCTAAAATATGCCACCTACGATTTTTTTGTTATTTTTTCCGTGATCAGGGAACAAAAATGAACACTTCTATAAGACGAAAGAATTTTTTGGAATTTTTGTTGTTGTTGCGCCTGTGGGTGTGAATTCCATTTGGGCCCCTAGTGGTTTGAGGGTTAAACAAACAAAATAATTTATTTGCATCGTTGGAGGCGTCCGAGAATGCGCGAGAAGCAGCAGGAATGCACAATGTGGTTTTCTCATTAATCAAACAAGCGCTCGCCAATCGAGACAAATTGTCGCCGTTCAGCATGCTCATTATTTGAAATGCTCGTAAATTGAGGCGCTCATCACACGAGGTTCCACTGCATACTGTTCACCACCTAAAGACTAAAGTATATTCTATACACCAGCTTAACACAAAATCTGTCTAATTAAGGAAAAACAAGAAACTACCTAAATTTAACAGCTTCTCACCTGGGTATTGTTGGATACACTGCATGCCAAGTCTGCAGAGGCATCGTTAATGTGTATCTGGTGTTTGGAGGCATCTTCTTTCTTAGGGCACGTAGCATAGAGGTTGTCATCAGTTTCTTCCAAACAATCATTTATTGGCTCTGTTGAAAAATTACTATAATGAGAATTAGGAACTTTCTAGCTGAAAACACAAAGGTTTAAAATTTGGTACATAAACACACTTAACCCTTAAACTGCGCAACGCGCCTGCAGGCTCGCGTCTGGTTTGCGCAACGCGCCTCCAGGTATTTTGATTTTTCACGTTCCATTCAAAACTGGCGCGCGGTGACACGGGTATGGTATGGGTGGGTGGGGGCCCCAGTGATCGTCCGCCATCTTAAAAAAAAATCCCAGCATGCCCTGCGGCCGTGGGGAGCCTCAGTTTCACGGCAGCAACCATGTCTGACGCATCCTCTACGAGCTCCCGCTCCACGGTGACCCGCGGTCATGGAAAACGACTCTCTGAGGAGGAAATACGCGATATTTTGTATGATGACGGTGCTCTGGATGATGACCTGGACTATGATCCAGATAAAGACCTAACTCAGAGATCTGATACGAGTGAGGAAGAGACAGAATTGGAAGATGTGGCGAGAGTGTGGGGTACTCGTGCCTCGCCCGGCCTGCCTCGCTGCCCTGGGTCAACACCGTTATCATCACCACCATCATATATGTCCCCAGATGCTAGTAGTTTATTCAGTGATAGTACATGTGACGAATCTTTCTCAGGCTTCAGTGACATTGGCTCCGATACGAGTAGTGTGGACGACCCGAGTACGAGCAGTGGTGGTGTTACCAGGCGGGGTTTTGCTACCTCAGCAACACGCCGCGGCAGGCGGCAGCGTGCCTCACAGCATGTGGACAACGACAGTGGCCCCTCAACATCATTTATTCGTGGTAGGTCTACAGTACGTAAATCTGCCTCAGCGCCTAGCATACCCTCACGCAGCTCCAGCAGAAGCAGCGGACGACGTAGCCGTAGTTTTGGTGCTCGTGGTGGTGTTGGCCGTGGTGTTGGCGCCAACACCAAACCCCCTGGTGTACTTGTGTGGGAGGATTGCACCACATTTGTCCCTCAAATACCAACATTTGATGATAGCGGTTTTGGTGTTACACCATTATTCCCATATACTGGTGATGATATGGCAGACATGGAATATTTTCAGGCATATTTTGACAATGTATTCATGACGCATCTTGTGACTGAGACAAACAGGTTCGCTCACAGCCTCATAGACGAAGGCATTTTACCTGCCTCACGGCTCACACGATGGAAGGACACGACAATCGACGAAATGTACGTGTTTCTGGCACTCACCATGATGATGAAGCACTCTGAGAAAGCTGTCATTCAGGAATATTGGAGCAAAGACAGCCTTGTTCCGACGCCTGTGTTCAACCGGTACATGTCGCGTGATAGGTATCTCTTGATTCTCAGGTGCCTGCATTTCGAGAATAATGCAAATGAGGACAGACACGACAGACTGTGGAAAGTACGGAAGATGTTCAGTGACATGAGAGGGAAGTTCAGGGATTATTTTGTACCTGGACAGAATGTGGTTATTGACGATTCGCTTGTACTGTTCAAGGGGCGACTGGCATTCAAGCAGTACATTCCATCAAAGCGGCACCGATTTGGACTGAAGTTTTTTGTGCTATGCGACTGTGAGACTGGTATTGTCTTGGACATGATATTATATTCTGGTACAGACGTCGACATACCGGCTCAAGATGAACACGGGTTCTCTGGCAGTGTTGTAAAAACCCTGATGGAACCGTTGCTGAACAAGGGGCATGTACTGTACACCGACAACTATTACACCAGCCCCTTATTGACCAGATACTTCCTTGCCCACAACACCGGCGTATGTGGCACTGTGAAGAGCCATAGGAAGGAAATGCCAGTGTTCGGTATAGCTATAGCCGTGGGTGAGTGCCAGCTGCGCAAGTGTGACAATACGCTGTCAGTGCGGTGGAAGGACAGACGCGAGGTGAATATGCTGAGTACGATTCACACCGGTGCCATGTTGGACAGTGGGAAAGTCCACTTTCAGACACGCAACACCGTGTATAAGCCAGACTGTGTCATAGACTATAACGTGAACATGCGCCTCGTCGATAAGTGTGACATGATGCTTGGTGGAGTGGAGTGCGTGCGCAAGTCTGTGAAGTGGACTAAAAAGTTCTTCTTCCACCTGATGGATGTTGCAGTGCTCAACTGCTTCAATATGTACTTAGTAATATGTGGCAGGAGACCGTCTATACGTACATTCAGTGCTGGTGTTGTGTCACAGCTGCTAGTAAAGTATGGCAAGGAGGGTTCTGTTGTACCGCGCGGAGTGCAAGCAACAATGCCACATGCAGCTCCAGACAGATTGAGGGGTAATGAGAACTTCGGAGTACATATGCTCGAGTATATGCCAGGCACAGCATCACGGGAGAAGGGCAAACGTGCGTGTATAGTATGCAGGAACACTACCCGCAGAGAACAGAAACGAAGATGTATCAGCACCTGGTGCGTGGAGTGCAAGGTGCCACTCTGCCCCGTTGGCTGTTTCGCAGCATATCACACACTCGCGGAGTACTGAGTGTGTTTATGGTGTGTGTATATAGTGTGTGATACTGTACAGTGTGTATATAAAGTGTAAATATAAATTTATTTGGCGTGATACATTGGAAATTGTGCAGGATAAGTGAACTTGTTTGTGATGCACGTAACACAGTGTCTACGGACAGTACGGATGTTGTACTGCGATATTATAATGTACATGTTCATTATACATTGAATTGGCACATAAAAACAATGAAAATGTATTGGGAAATGTGCGCAATAAATGAACAAAAATATATTCGCGGCAATTCGCGCGCCCCGCCCCGAGCGCCCCACCGCCTCTGAGAGCTTACACCACGGGCGCACAGGGAATGATGACGTCACGCCCCAACTTCCGGACCCCATAGCACCCAAAGTAAGTACAATTTCAAATTTTTTTTTACATACCCATACTCAGGGAAGGGTTTTTGACACTTTAAAAAGAAAAAAGAATTTTTTCCAGAGAATTTATTTCCTGCGCACTGCGGGGGTGTCACATTTGGAGGCAACGCAGTTAGGGGGTTAAGGAGCTTTATGATATTTTATGTAATGAAAACAACTTCCACCACTGACTCCACCTGCCTCCCCTAACAACAACTTCCACCACCAGTCTTCTTGGACACCAATAACTCCACATGCCCCCCTGACACAAAACCCCCACTGCTGACACCACTTGCCCCCCCCTGATACCAACCCTTACCAATGACACCATCTGCCTCCCCTGACACCAACCCTTTTCAATTGTACCATCTGCCTCCTCTGACACCATTTAATCTTTCTTCAACTCCTTCTCACCATGGAAACAAATGGTAAGCAAAATAAAAACCATATAACTGTTTACGCTTTGGTGAATCAGAATTGATGACAGCCGCCTCCCAATGCTCGGTCTCAGTGACAGCTTGGACGAACAATCCACATTTAACCACTGGGAGGCACTTGGGGTTATAGCCTGCAACACCACTAGGCATAAGAAAGAAACAAATTCCATCTTTTCTTCTAATCTGTTAAAATGTGTTCCCTGATCATGGGGAAAGAAAAAAAATCCTAGGTGACATATTTTGGCTACAATAGGACAAGGAAGTCTGGCAAAATTGAGACGTTGACAAAGTACATGTCCCGCAATGGTCTGCTCCACCCCCGTTGTCAAGCAGGAGTTGCCACAAAGATAATATTACCTAATTATTTCAATGTAATGACTATTTTTTCTCTTTTTTTGCATTAATATTATTCAATAGTGAGTAAAATGATATATTTATATAATAAAATGTGTGAACCATTGCTATACTCAAATGAATGGTGTGCTTATTAGTGATTAAATTATTATGTTCATAAAACAATAAATAAATAGTTTTGCTGTTATTACAATATATATATATATACACACACATTATTTATAAGTATCTACAATTGTGTTCACCATAGTGAAATATTAAGCTGGTATGGTGTCCAAACAACAACGTGCCCAACATTCGGGCAAGGTGTTTTTGGTAGTCGAAAAGGGTCCTGGCCGTTCACAGCCTTGTCAGTGTCCCTGGCCCTAATCGGGCATGTGTCACATCATATCGGCGGTTGCAGCCATTTGTCTCGACTTCGAGTTGAGGAATGAGTGGCGACCGCCTCCCGGGTAAGTCCCTCTTGTTTTTATCTTTGGTTAACCCTTAGAGAGCGCAATACATATATAGACGATGGGAGTAAGTTTACCAAACCGCGCAATACATATACTGTATCCACTCGCTAATCCTAACTATATGGGAAGGACCCCCAGCTGGATTATCACGTTTTCCAGATTAACGTACTTTATTATCTCTGAGTCCAAAAGGGACCATTTCCAACAATTTTTATACCACCATCATGATTTGAATTGACACACAGTAATTAGTGTGTGGGGCTGGGTGGGTGGTTAGCTGCCTAGCTGGTAGGTGGGCAAGGAAAGTGGGTGGGCAGGCAGGCAGAGATAATTAAGTTCAGGCAGGTAGGTTTTGGATGGCAGGCAGATAGGCTTGGTGGGTGAACAGGTTCGTGCAGGCAAGTGGGTGGGTGAGCAGGCAGGTGGGTGAACAGGTGGATTGCTGGGCTATCAGGCAGGTGGTGGGTGAGCAGGTAGGTGAGTAATTACCTAAGTGTAGTTACAGGATGAGAGCTACGCTCGTGGTGTCCCGTCTTCCCAGCACTCTGTCATATAACGCTTTGAAACTACTGATGGTCTTGGCCTCCACCACCACCTCCCCTAACTTGTTCCAACCGTCTACCACTCTGTTTGCGAAAGTGAATTTTCTTATATTTCTTCGGCATCTGTGTTTAGCTAGTTTATATCTATGACCTCTTGTTCTTAAAGTTCCAGGTCTCAGGAAATCTTCCCTATCGATTTTATCAATTCCTGTTACTATTTTGTATGTAGTGATCATATCACCTCTTTTTCTCCTGTCTTCTAGTTTTGGCATATTTAATGCCTCTAACCTCTCCTCGTAGCTCTTGCCCTTCAGTTCTGGGAGCCACTTAGTAGCATGTCTT